GTGAAGGTTTGGTGGGCAAAACGCCCTGAATTCCTGTGGGCCCAGATGGAAATTGTGACCCTATCCTTGGAAGGGCTCCTCGGCTGTGGGTTGCATCACGTTTCTGCAGGCACCAAAGGAACAAAATGTCCGTTTGTGGATGATTCGGAGCACCTTTGCTTTTAAATGCAGATATGCAAAGTGCTTCCCAGTCCCGTTCCCATCCGCCTTCAGAGCTGACAGAACTTACACTTTCTGTAGAAACTGCATCCCATGCCAAGCCTGGAAAGTGTCCTTCTGGATCCGCGCCATGAGATTTCCACTGAGGTTTCTGGGGGGAAAGAAGGGGATCTGGTGTGTCCTGCGGGGAGCAGAACAGCATTGATCTGTAGGAAATACCCAAATCTGAGGCAGAACGGGGACCAAACTGCTGCCTTCTCGTTCTTTCAACCTGTCAAGGAGAGGAAATGAGCTGCACATGTGCTCCATCTATTTCTGTTCCAGGGTACAGTGAGCCTTCGGGAAAATCATGGCTGCATTTGGGCAACTGCACTGATCTCATCCTGCTGCATCACAGCCATCCGCACCGACCCTCCAGCCCAGCTTAGCAGAAGAAATTGCCACAATTCCAACAATAAAGAACATTTCCTGGCACACGGAGGGTTATAAATGCAAAAAGAGATTTTTACGACTCACAGAAGCTGCAAGAAGGGAAGTGGCTCGAAAGCACGTTCCTCAATCGACAGGATTTTATTGCCGGATAAATCCCTGTTAAAATTAGAACACAAAATGCTGGTTACATTTGCACCGTCGTGTTTACCTTCCCTTGCTTTGGCAGCATATGTGTTTCATGGCTCTAATTTCACATCATGTTTATATCTGGTACCGGCGCTGTGTAACCTGCCATAACCCTCGTGCCTGGAAGTGGCTTTCATCTCCTTGCTATTTTTCCAGCTCTGACCCCACCAGAATTGTTTCAGGGCTCGATTTTCCCCTATGACAGATTCTTTAGCAGCCAAGGAAGCACTTGCATGGGCCACAACCAAGCGTGTGCCCTCTGGATGTGCCCCAGAGATGCAGCCTCTCTGTAAGGTTCAGGTGACGTGAGCTCTGGTCACGGGAAGCAACGCAGGCGGCCAGGGGAATTGCAGAAATACAGCAAGCAAGCTGCGAGCCTGTCCTGAGTGACCAGCACTGCAGGGCTCTGTCTTTGCTGCAGGAATTTTCCACCCAAACCTTGGCAGAAGCGGGGCGTGCACGTATGGGTTCTGCCTTGTTTTGGCCATCGCCACACCTGAACAGTCCTCAGCTAAAGCTAGAGGCAATCTCCAGCTCACAGGAGGCCACAGCTGGGGTGGGATTGACTGTGAATCACCCGGAGGGAAAGGGCAGCAGCCTCCTCATCTTTGGGAGGCAAAGAAAGTGGCACCACAGCCCCGCAGTGGATCCTCCCACCGGTCGCTACTGCAGGATCGTGGCACTGTGTTTTGCTGAAACAGGGGGGGAGTGAAGGACACTTGCGTGGGGAGGGGGACAGAACCAGCCCACACATACAGATGCTTCAGCAGCAGCAAACCCTCCAGCGAATGCCTCTTCACCACCCTCAAATCGTTGTCCTGGAGAACTCTGGAACGAAACAAACAGTCGTTTACTGCTGCACCAAGAGGAGCAGGCACTCCCCCCTGAGCTGCTGAAGCCAACTGTAGCTTGATGGTTGATTAATTAGGCACAGGGATGGCCCTCTTGGACTGGCACCATTAGCCTTCCCGTAGCTGGCAGCATTTTGGCCACTCATGGAGGTTAGGGGGCTTCTCACCCCTCCTTACTGAGCAGCTCAGCTCTGAACTCACTTGGAAATGCTTCGTGTGGGTGCTTGCGTTCCTTATACACTCAGCTCAAGAAATAGAGTGTCTGGATTGAAACTATCTGAACTCCTGACATTTAAAATGAATACTTACAAGTGCTCAGCCCACGGGTATTCCCTCCATGCTTCTTTTTCAATGGAAGAAATAGAGTTGCCGGTGAAATTTCTGCAAACAAACGAGCGTCACATGACTGCGATTGCTAACAGGTCTGCAGAAAGTAGTCTGCAGAAAGACTGCTTGCAAATCATCAAATCGTTATGGCTGGAAAAGTCTTCTAAGGTCATTTTCCTACCACCAATATTGCCACTAAACCACATCCCTCAGTGCCACACCTCCTATTTCCATGACCCCCCACCCCCCGTGCAGTCAGTGCTGATGTATCACCGCTCTTTCCGAGAAGAAACACTTCCTCACATCCAACCTGACCCCCCCTCTCCCTCCCCAGCACAACTTGAGGCCACCACCCCCTCTCGTCCCATTGCACCGTGCCCTGTCTCAGAGCTGCTTCTGTCATTAGCACAAGGATTTCAGTCAGCCCTTTAATGACGTTACGCATGAGTTCCTGTTTCCCATTCCATCTCACTGCTTCCCTGGAGATCGGGGGGTCCTCCAAGGTGAGGCATGGACACAAAACCCCGTTCCCCTACAAACTGCTCACAGCACAGACAGGGCCCAGCGGCGGGCGGCCCGCGGCACCGCGACCATGGAGGCTCGGCTGCAGTCCAGCAGCCACCGCTGACAGTGGCAGGAGGGCGGGCAGAGGGCAGCGGGCTGCCCTGGGGACAGAGCTGTGACCAACAGGAGCACCAGGACGAGGAGGAATGGGTGGTGGAGTCGGGGCAGAACCATGGCGTTGCCATCATGGTTGCTGGGCAACCGGGCTGCAGGACTCAGGTGTGTGCAGGCCTGGGCTGTGTGTAGGCCTTAGAATCATAGAATCGTGGAATCACAAGGGTGGAAACGACCTGTAGGATCATCTGGGCCAACCGTCTCCTCATCAGCATTGCCACCACCAGCACCAAACCACATCACGCAGCACGTTGTCCAGATGCCTCGAGCACTGCCAGGGACGGCAACTCCACCACCTCCCTGGGCAGCCATTGCAGTGCCTGACCACTCTCTGAGAGAAAAAGTGCTTCCTTATGTCCAACCTAAACCTCCTCTGATACAACTTGCGGCCATTGCCCCGTGTGCTGCTCGTTGCCTGGGAGAAGAGGCCAAACCCCTCTCCACCACAGCCTCCCTTCAGGAGGTTGTACAGTGCAATGCTGTCTGCCCTCAGCCTCCTCTTCTCCACACTGAACAATCCCAGCTCCTCATAACCCTTGTGCTCCAGACCCCTCACCATTTCGTTGCCCTTCTCTGCACACGCTCCAGGGCCTTTCTTGTAGTGAGGGGCCCAAAACTGAACCCAGCACTCGAGGTGCGGCTTCACCAGAGCTGAGTACAGGGGATGCTCCCCTCCCTGCTCCTGATGGCTGCACCATTCCTAATGCAGGCCAGGATGCTGTTGGCCCTCTTGGCCACCTGGGCACACTGTGGGCTCATGTTCAGCCGAGCTCCAACCAACACCCCCAGCTCCTTCTCTTCTTCACACTCACAGCCACTCATCCCCAAGCCTGCAGCGCTGCATGGGGTTGTTGTGCCCAAATGCAGGACCCGGCACTCGGCCTTGTTGAACCTCATCCCATTCACCTCAGCCCAGCGCTCCAGCCTGTCCAAATCCCTCTGAAGGGCCGCCCTGCCCTCAGGCAGATCCACACCACCTCCCAGCTTGGTGTCATCTGCAAACTTGCTGAGGGTGCACTCAATGCCCTCATCTAGGTCATCACTAAAGATACTAAACAAGATGGGCCCCAGCACCGACCCCCGGGGACACCACTTGAAACGGGTCTTGGGGCCTTGGGCCTGCGTAGGCTTCAGCTGTGGGTAGTGTGTGTGGGCCTCAGGTGTGCGTGGGCCTCAGGTGTGTGTGGGCCTCAGGTGGTGATTGTCTCCCTCTACTCTGCTCTTGTGAGGCCCCATCTGGAATACTGCGTCCAAGCGTGGAGCCCCCAGTACAAAAAAGACAGGGAGCTGTTGGAGAGGGTCCAGAGGAGCCATAAAGATGATCAGAGGACCGGAGCACCTCCCCTATGAGGACAGGCTGAGGGAGCTGGGCTTGTTCAGCCTGGGGAAAAGAAGGCTGTGGGGTGACCTCATTGCAGCCTTTCAGTACCTAAAGGGAGCCTGCAAACAGGAGGGGAATCAACTCTTTGAAAGGGTTGATATGTGTAGGACGAGGGGAAATGGTTTTAAGTTGAGGGAGGGGAGATTGAGGTCGGACATCAGGGGGAAAGTCTTTACCCAGAGAGCGGTGAGGTGCTGGAACAGCTGCCCAGAGAGGCTGTGGATGCCCCATCCATCCCTGGAGGTGTTCAAGGCCAGGTTGGATGGGGCCCTGGGCAGCCTGGGTTAGCATTAAACGTGGAGGTTGTTGGCCCTGAAGGTGGCAGGGGGTTGGAGATTCGTGATCCTTGAGGTCCCTTCCAACCCTGGCCTTTCTGTGATTCTGTGATTCTGTGTGTAGGCCAGTAGTGAGGCCAGTAGGCCTCACTGCACCTCATGTCTCCCAGGGGTGGCTTTGGGTCATTCTGTGTGGTTCTGCCCTTCTGTGAGTGGCACTGCCCCTCAAAAAAAGCACATTAAGAAGGATATCACTGTACGTATATATACACACATATATACATATGGTGTCCTTGAGGAGAAGGCAGCCCCACAGCCATGGGCTGCCTGTGCTGGGATGGGACATTCCAGCCCTTTCCATTGGGCTGCTGCTTGGAAGATCAATTATTAAATGTGCCAGTAGGCTTTAATTTCACACCAGCCCAGCAGTTTCCAACTTGAATAATAAGAGAGAGGAAGCTTGGTGATTTGCAGCCGTGTTTCCTTAAATTAAAAGTGCCACGATCCTTTCTTTCACCCTTAGTGCTTCAGACTCCCAAGTTCTTCCTTGAGCTCTCCCATTTTTCTTCTGTGCCAAGGGCAGGAGGCAAAAAATCCGAGCAGGGCTTTGTTATGAAATGAACATTCCCTCCGCACCGCGAGCCCTTCAGATCTATGGAGGCGGATGGACATTCCCACTGAATTCACTGCCCCAAAGAATCACACAGCACACAGGGTTACAAAAAAATTTAATGAAAAACATGTTCTAAGTTAAAAAGGATCTTTGTTTGACATCCTAACGATGTCCCAGCTGTTCGGTACATCAGCGCAGGGCTGCGGTTTGTCTCCCTAAGAGAATTTCACCCCGAGGAGCATGACTTGTAAGTACACAGCTACTCCTGCTGGTACGACATCTCTCACTGCCTCTGTCTTTCTCCTGCTGATCACAGCTAACCCAAACTGCTCTGGCTTGTTCATTTCATTTTTTTCTGAGTGCTGTGCACATCTGTTACGCTGTCTAAATAATCACCACGTAGGTAAGCTTGCTTCCATATATAGCTGACCTGGATAGGCTGACAGGAAAACACTTTCTCTCCAGAAACATCATACATTTTTGTAGCTTAATTTTAGTAACTGTAGGTCCGTTGCCCATTTCTTTCACTGTATTCTGTATTTGGAGAAAAATAAAACGTTGGATATGAGGTAGTTGTCACTGCACAGCTTTAGACTTTCATCCCTAACCAAACTTTTGGAAGTGATCTGAAGACAGAGCTGCGCTAATGAGCTGGCACCTCCCACACGGGGAGCTCATCATCCAGCGTCAGGTCAGACAAAACTTCTTCTTTGAAGTCCAACGGTTCCGAAGGCAATTCATTGACCTGGGAAGAAAAATCCAAGCGTCAATTTCATCTCCTCAACAGATAAAAGAAATCGGGCGGACGTCGGCTGTTTCAGACACAAAAACAGCTCCTGTTTTAGTCACACTCAGTGAGAAAGGAAGGTTGTTCCTCTGGACAATAGGTGACTCAGTGTCATCAAGCGGAGCAATGTGTCACAAGGTTCAGGAGCCACTTCCTTCATGCAAACTGCAGGAGGAATCGGACACTGCTCTGATGCATCACGTGAGAGCAATGCTTGCTTTCAAAAGAGCTGAGGACCTGCTGAGGGCTGGCAGTGTGAAAAAGCTGGCGTTCAGAATTCATCTCGCTGTGTGCGGTGACAACCAACGCACTGTGCGTCTGACAGCTCTCACAGTTACCTGCAGGGCTTCCCCCAAGCTTTTAGCAGTCATTCCCTGGGGGTGGCATAAGGCCATGAAGTGCATTTCTGGATGGGGAGTTTTATTGAAGATCTTATTAAAAAATCACTGGGTTCAACCTACTGTAACTTGACTGGGATTTCCACTGTCACAGACGCTGTGCTGTTACCTGAACAAGCCCCTCCAGCTCCTCCTCTGTTAGGAAGTCTGCGGGCTCCTCTGCAGCCTGGTTGTACTCCACGGCCACTTTACCACTCTCTGGAATGGAACACAGGCAGAGAGCTGGTTGCTGTGTGTAGTGACACCAGCCTACCCTCAGCTCCGCGTGGGGCAGCTCTACTTCATTACTGCTGTGATTCTAGAGTGGAGGAAGGACGCAGCTGAAGGGTTTGTCACGTTAATTACAAGGTACAGGGGACAAGAGCAGGGGTGGTTACTGCATTGGGTAATGCTGCTGCTTCTCTGCAGAAAACCAAAAGGTTCTGACCGAACGGAGTGGAAACTGAAAACGAGGATATGGAACACGTTAATTACCGGGCTGTGTTTTGTGATGGACCAGAAGGCACAAAGCACTGCAGAATATCTGCATCCAGAGACCCACCCTTCTAAGGAATGCCTTAAAGAATCCCGGGCAGGAAGCTGGCAGGTTAACGAAGTCCTGCTGGATTTAACAAAGCTCCTGCTCAGATGCTGCATCGGCACCACAGCACGAGGCGGCGCTCAGTGCGGAAGTCCTTCCTTTGGGAATGAGGATGGTGGCACTGGCCTCGGCACACGAAGGTCTCTCCTGAAGCTGAATGCTTTGAGGGCCAAAGCACTCAGTTATCACATAACTCAGCGCCAGCTGAAGGCTCAGAAAACACCGGATGTGAAACCCAGGGAAAACACATCCAGCAGCTCCTGGGTAGGCACAGAGCCGGATTCGTTAACTGAAATCTCCAATCGTAGCCCCAGAGACACTGAGGACAACAGAAGGGCAGGAACTGCCGAGTCCTTGTGCAGCCCCACGCCAGGTCTTACCTAAAACCACAAGGAGAATCTTCTGAAAGGCGCTGGACAAAGCTTTGCCGACTGCGAGCTTCTGAACTCTTCCTGCAGCTGTAACAAACTGCAGAGGATCTGCGCTGGTGAAACAGCAGGTTAATGAAGACAGCCTGCAGATGAAGCACATCAGCTGCACGGCACTGGGGAACGAAATCAAGTGGCCAAAACGAACCTTCACCATTGCCAACGTCTGCCTCACCGAGCCCAACTCCCCGGCTCTGTACCCCATGGTTGGGCAGCGTTACTTCCACAGCACACAGGTATCTCACACATCGCTTCTTCCCCACTTCCTCATTCTCATCATCAAAGCCAGACACGTTCTGCAGCTGTGGGGAAGGCTGCAAGTCATTGTTTGAGATTAAAGAGGAAGGAGGTGTTGTGACTGAGCGGCCACAGCGTGGCACAGAGCTTTTCTGCACAGCGTGGCAGCGCGTGGGGGAGGCGAGGTGGGGATGCTGACTGTTTGACCCTATTTTAGAAATGTTTCATAGTCTCAGTCACCTCAGGAACTCAGCACACAACGACAAGCTCTGGCACGGCTTTATTCACTGCATGAAAACCCGCTGCCCCCATGTGCACAAGCAGAAGCCCAGCCAGTGCCCTTGCCCACAGCAATCTTCTCCCCTCAAGCTTTCAAAATAACCCCAAGCCCCAGTTCCTGTGGCTGTCCTTGTTATTTGCTGACTGGAGGACAATTCTGTTCACTCCACCAACTGCTTTTTTTATGGGATAAATGAGGGGAACACGGGAGAACGAGGGGAAGGCTGATGGCAGAGTGACAGGGATGTGGCACGGAGGGACACGGCTCAGTGGGCACGGCGGCGATGAGCTGAGGGCTGGGCTTTAGGATCCCAGTGGTCATTTCCAACCTTAATGGTTCATTGAGTGGGCATGCTGGTGATGGGCTGATGAGCTCAGTGGCCTTTTCCAACCTCAAAGATTCTGATTCTAAGACCATAAAGGGCCCCTTACCGTGATGATACGGCTGCACCAGCCGTTAAAGCCAAGGTAGTGGTTGGCCAATTCCTGGCACTTGTTGCTGTTGAGAGCAAGGACTTGCTGCTGAAATCCCTTCTGCTTGGTGCAAACACAAACCTGCTCAGGGAAGAAGCGAGCAAGTTAGCACAGAGAGCATCTCCCAGATCAACAGATCCACCCAGAGCTTCTGCCCTGCTGCTGAAGGTGCTGGTGCTGAGGGATGGCACAGCTTGGCCGTCCTCCTTACCTTCATTGGAGAGTTCTGAAACAGCTTTTGCCCGTTGCACGCCTGCTGGGCTCTGCTGGCATCTGCAGCTGAGTAGAACTTGATGATGGCATAGCAGCCAGGCCCTGCCACAGCAGCATTGCTGTGTGCTCGCACCGAGTAGAGCAACCCAAATTTTGAAAACACTGAAAACAGGGCATGCTTTGGAAACAAACAAACAAGCAAACAGAACAACAAACCAACACAAAAACACAAACAACAAACGAACCAAGAGAAAAAAGTGCATCTTATAGAACATCCATGGGTGCCCAGAGGCTGACCAGCTCCTTCCCTCTGCCCTCTTGCTTTCTGAGGGCTTTGCTGGAGCTCTGTTACACACTTTAGCAGCTTCATTGCAGCTCTCTGACACTTTGCTGCTCTCTCAGCAGCTCTGCTTTGCAGACCAGAGGGGCACAAATCTCCCTCCCCTCCCTCGGGATTGCCCAGAATGCCTCAAGGCAGTTAAAATATGATCCAAACAATACAAGGCAATGAGAGGTGGGGGTGAGGGTAAAAATTACATTAGCACGAAGGGAACGTAGTGGGAGAATTGGTCAGTGCAACGGGGGAACTGAGCTGTTATATCCCCCAGCATCACCCTTCAGGACCAGGGGTCTGGGCTCCATTCCTCAGCCCCAAGAGGGGCCCTGCTCCCCAAACACAGCTGTAGCCCCCATCCCAGGCCCTTCCCCAGGCCCCCGATCCCATCCTCAGCTCCTGATCCACATCCCTGTCCCTGCCCCAATCCCAATCCCAACCCCAATCTCATCTCCAGGCCCAGTCCCCAGTCTCAGGCCCAGGCCCCGGCCCCATCCCCAATTTCACACCCTGACCCCATCCCCAGCCCCTTCCCCAACCCCAGGCCCTGGCCCCATCCTCAGACCCCAGCCCCAGGCCCAGGCCCTGACCCCATCTCCAGGTCCTGACAACCCCAAGCTTCGATCCCAATTTCCCCACCCCCATCCCCAGGCCCCAACCCCAA